TTTTTTTTTTTTTTTTTTTTTTTTTTTTGTAGTATGGCGCTGGCAGCCTGCCGCAGTGTCATGATGTCATCATAATTGTTTTTTTTAGGGCGCAGAACAGCCTGCGAATGCCCCACACGGCCAACGAAAGCCATGCCTAACACAGCCGAACTTGATTTTTAATTTTGTTTTCAATAAAATGAAAAACAAATATTCCGATCGAAAAAAATATATATATATGGGCAGGTGCCCGTTGACATGGAGCACAAACGTGTGCAAAGAAAACACCCCCCTACAAGCCAAAAATAAAATAAAATGGAGTGCCCGCTCTGCGCGAACTCCGTGAACTCCAACCGGTCACGAAAAACGTGACCGGTGACCGGCCCACATTCACCAGGGCCGTGAACGGTGAACGGGGGTACGGCACTGATCCCGCTCCTTCTTCCGCTCCTCCTCGCCCTTCTCCTCCCTCTCCTTCTCCCGCTCCCCCTCCTGCTGCTCCTCCCTCCTCCTGCTCCTCCTCCCGTTGGTTCTCCTGCTCTTCCCCCCGTCCCCCCTCCTGCCCCTTCTCCCGCTCCTCCTCCCGCTCCTTCTCCCTCTTCTTGTACCTCCTTCCTCTCCTCCTACCAGCCGCGAGTTGATCCGCCTCTGCACGTATGCGGGTCCTCACGCTCCTTCTCCCACTCCTTCCACTCCTCCTCCCGCTGCTCCCTCCGCGGCTCCTCTGCCCCTTTCCGTTTCCCCTCCCGCCCCTCGTCCCACCCCTCCTCCCGCTCCTCCTCCCCTTCCTCCTCACGTTCGTTAACCCCCTCCTCGTTTGCCCTCCTGCTCGTCCTTCCGCTCCTCCTCCCGCTCCTTCTCCCACTCCTTCTCCCGCGCCTCCTCCGCCCCTTCCCATTTCCCCTCGTGCTCCTTCTCCCGCTCCTCCTCCCGCTCCTCCTGCCGCCCTTCCTCCTCCTCCCGCTCCTCCTCCTCCCGCTCCTCCTCCCACGCCTCCTACCGCTCCTTCCGCTGCTCCCGCTACTTCTCCCGCTCCTCCTCCGTCAAACAACGTGACAAAGATCCCGCCATAGCCATCTCCTACGAAAAAAAAAGAAAACTCCTGGCACTTCTCCCGCTGCCTCGGCTCCTCCTCCTGCCCCTCCTCCGCCAAACAACGTGACAAAGATCCTACCTGCCGGATAAGCCCCCCCACTCCTCCTCCGGCTGCTCCAGCTCCTCCTCCCGCTCCTCCTCCGCCAAACAACGTGACAAAGATCCTACCTGCCGGACGAGCCGCCCCGGTCCTCCTCCTCCCGCTCCTCCTCCTCCAGCTCCTTCTCCCGCTGCTCCCGCTCCTCCTCCCGCTCCTCCTCCCGCTCCTCCTCCCACTCCTCCTCCCGC